CTCTCCCTCTCCCTCTCCCTCTCCCTCTCCCTCTCCCTCTCCCTCTCTCTCTTTCAAGCTGCAACCGTGTCAAGACGTTTTCGAAAGCAACAAATCGTTTGGTTTCGGTGCGCTGCAAAATACAAATATCAGAGACAGCAACACAATCAGCTCACAATCACAGAGAGGATGTTTGAGTCTGAACTACACTAATGTATCCGGATGTATTGAATCAAGGGACTTTCAATGAACAGCCTACTAAAGAGCAACCAAGAGGATGTTTGACACTCAGGCATCGAGGGAATTGCAAAATGATAGAAGCAATCTGGTCGCTTCTCCAGATTGCTCCCAAAACGAATCCGCGATGCGGACAATCCGCGCACATGACCTAAACCACGCTAGTCTGCAATCCAAGTGAGTCAGTCAAGCATCACCCCCTGCAGCTTTGCTGCACTCTGAGCTTCCGGAGACTCGCACCTACCTGACTCTTGTTGGCGCAGAGGCCGCCTTGCTCAGCACCCTTCGCTTCTTGCGAGCGCTGCTCTCACAACGCTTGGCTGCTGCGACCCTCTCCAGCTGAATGCTTTCAAGGCTCGCCGTCACCTTCTCTGGGCAGCTCACCAAATCTGTTAATTTGACGGCAGCAGGGAAAGAGTTTCCCTTTTTTCCCGCGCGTCGAAACCAAGAGCCCTTCCAAAAAAACACGGTGAGCATCTGCTCCACAGCGTATCCAAAAACAGCCTTCATGGCTGAAGGAAATGGACTCAGGGAGCTCGGCTTCTTTCACCATGATGCGGATCAATCTCAGATAGTGGACGCTCACAACAAAAATTGACATGTTTGGAGAATGGCCTCGCGCACGTCTTTCGGCTTCACGCCCAGAGCCTTGCTTTGCAAGATCTCTCGCTTCCTTCGAGCACAACTGTCTGCGGAACTGCGCCTTGAGGCAATGAAGGCCTCCTTCCGCAAGGATTCGAACGCCCACTGGGCAGAGATGACTTGCACAAACCTGTCAGGGCGTCCACCTCGCTCCGGCATAGGCTGAGGCCATTGCAGGCGGATGCTGGCGCTCTTCCTTCTGGCACGATGCGGGCTGGGGACCAAGGGTTCATGCCCACTTCAGACTCCCCAACAAATAGTCTTTCGTGGAAAAGGTATCGGGAGCGCCCTTCAGAATAGAACCATGAGGGCTCAACGGCTCATTCCCACTTTAGACTCCCAAACAAGTTGTCTTTCGTAAAAGCTGTTCGGCAACGCCCTTCAAAATGGAACGATGAGGGATGCTGCCCTGAGGTCCATGCCCACTTTTCACTCCCAAGCAAATGGTCAAATCTGAGGGCTGGGGCCCTGAGGTCCATACCCATTTTAGACTCCAAAACAAATAGATCATTTTGTAGAAAAGCACTCCTTCTGGTATCGGGAGCGCCCTTCAATATTGACCATGAAGGCTGGGGACCAAAGGTTAATGCCCACTTTAGATTCCAAAACAAATGGTCTTCCGTAGTAAAGGCACTCCTTGTGGTGGCATCGACGGGCTGGGGACCAGGGGTTCATGTCCACTTTAGACTCCAAAACAAGTTGCCTTTTTCTTTTGCGTTCACACTATCAGAATTTCCCCTGCATGCATATTGCAACCATCAGGGTTGAACAGAAACCACCTAGATATACCACTCACTTACTGCTGCTCAAACCAAGACTTAGAAACTTGTCGAGAAGGAGTGCCATCTGCACTGCCCAAGACATCACCAAAACACCACAGGGTAAGAGTTTCAATCCGCAAAGCGTTGTTCCGTAAACTGCGACAAGGATTGGGGCCTTTAGGGATTAGGCGTGATGCGATCAGGCAATTCAAGCGAAGCAGTGGCAACAACAGTACTGATACAAACGCAAACCAGCACCAGACGGCAACTCTACGCACAAGTACGCGGTGAACACCATATGGAGGCGCTCAAAAAGATCAATAAAAAACCAAGTACTCCAACCACCAGAACTGCCCGCTTTCACCGGAAGATTGCAAACAAGTCCAGAAACACATAACAAAATTGAGAACTGAGAAATGAGGCGACGGGAATGGAAGCAGTCCAACAAAAGGATACAAAGGGCATCACGTTCAAGGCGCTGGAACAACAGGGCGCAAACCACACCGATTCCGGTCTACCGTCAACTGATGATGCATGATGCTGCATTTTTCGATTGCAAAGGGCGCATCAGGGGGTGATTAAACTTCACGTTTTTTGAAGCCAACATTCCAGCAACTTCGCAGAAGCCTTTTTGATTTTTGCTAAAGCTTGATAGATTCCTAAGATTACTAACTATATATTCAAATGTATGTGTATTACAGCATGTAAATGTCCTAGTTGGGTTTATGGCATGGCTCGCTTCCCACATGGAAGATTGAAATCTCACGATTTGTGAAGGGGACACAGGACAAACATGGACCAACACTTGCCGAACAAGCGAAGACTTGCAGTCCTCCGAAAACGAGCCGAAAGGACCACAGCAACAACATCTCCAGTTACACGCCAGAACCAACCCAACATACAGTAGACAAACTAGATGAGGACAACCATCATGGAATATAGTATACACGCAGACAGACAGGCAATATCATGTTGCTTGGCCGCCCAGCACCAATGTATGGAGGCATCACACCATAACACAGGGAAAAGCAAGATGGAGCCCACGAACCCGAACGCGTTACATATGCCAATCTTTCTCTATTAAGAGAGGGGGGGGCGTAATCTACGCAAAATTCCCACAGCGACTTCTGTGTACATAAGCATTTGCGACATGTGACTTCTGAACATACACACCTGGCCAAATCCTGTTTCGGACACTCTTATGGGGCACTGTTGCAGAACTGTCTTGTAGGACTCTCTTGTGGGACGCTCTAACATGACACTCTTGTGGGACACTCTTGCGGAACACTCTGGGACGACACTCTTGAGGGAAAGTCTTGTAGGACACTCTTGCGGGGCACTCTTGTAGGACACTCTTGTAGGACATTCTTCCAGGACACTCTTTGTAGGACACTCTTGTGGGGCACTCTTGTAGGACACTCTTGTAGGACATTCTTGTGGGGCACTCTTGCGGGACACTCTTGTAGGACAGTCTTGTTTGTCACTCTTGTGGAACACTCTCGTGGGACACTCTTGTACGTAGGACCTAGGACACGCTTGTGGGACACTCTTGTAGGACACTCTCGTCGGACACTCTCACTCTTGTCGGACACACTTGTGAGACACTCTTGTGGGACACTCTTGTGAGTCACTGCTGTCACGTCTCCTGAACAAGCGTTTCGCACAGGACTTCCTCAAAAACTCACACGTCGAGTCTGCAAAACGAGCGTTTCGTTCGTCACTTCCTCCAAAATTCACGCTTCAATCCTCCAAAACGAGCGTTTCGTACGAGACTTCCTCAAAAACTCGCGCTTCGAGTCTGCAAAACGAGCATTTCGTACGAGACTTCCTCCAAAAGCTTCGAGTCTGCAAAACGAGTGTTTCGTACGAGACTTCCTCCAAAAGTCACGCGTCCAGTCTCCCCTCCAACAACGCCCGCTCACACGCCAATCCCAATGTCACAGCGACATTCACCTCCGCCACACCTCGCAACCTCACAATTCCCTGCGCCTGCCACGAAACTTTCCGTATTACGTCTAACGTGCACAAAGTACTGCGCCTGCCACGAAATGTCACCTCCATCACACCTTGCAACCTCACGATCCCCTGCGCCTGCCACGAAAATCGCACTTCCACACCTCAAAGCCCGCACAAAGTACTACAGCGCCTGCCACGAAAAGTGATAACACCACACCACACTTTTAATCCACCAAAATTGCCATTTCAGCTGAGACTTGTCACGAAAACAGACTGAGCTTCGATGCAACACCCTGAAACGCAAATCCCAATGTCACAGCCACATCCAACACCCCAAAAAGCGCAGAAAACTGCCGATCTCAGAAGACGCTGCGCCTGCGAAGTGAACTCATCCTCCACACTTCAGCATCTGACGTTTCCACACGTTTCCTCGAAATCTTTCACGAATCTGACACATCACGCTTCCATGCCAAACCCTCTCCAAAACCTTCCCCCAATGGCAGTGGCCTTAGCGTCCTCATGCGGACGGCGGTGAACGGTTGCGAACGCTGAGACAACGGGTCGGGAACAAGGCTCTACCCCCAGACCCCCAGAGTTAAACGAGAACCCTTCGCTACGCATTCGGGAAAAAGAACATGGATACACAGGAAAGGGCTCAGCAGCACCATGTCTCTACGACGTCCGTTCCAAACGACAGAGTGGTCGTAGAAACAGGCATGGAGCTCGGAATCGGGACATACTGACATACCGTTGCGACCCAACCCCACACACTCCATGTAATGTATGCCATATATGCATACCCTACGCAACCAAACCCTATAAATTTGTAGGGTCGATGGAAAAAACTAGGGTTTCTGAAGGAAACCCCAGGTTTTCCAAACCAGTAGTACAATACGTTTTTAGTACGGGTATGTGTACGGGTTAAATATGGGTTTAGTACGGCTTAGCACGGTTTAGAAAAACAAGACCCGAGGTTCTAAGAACAAACCTGAGGTATTCTTGATTTCACAAGAATACCCGAGGTTCCGATTGAGACCCTACAAATTTATAGGGTTTGGTTGCGTAGGGTACATTGACCCCCCAAACCCCAAACCACCCCAGGGCCCAATGTAGGCATATATGGCATACATGGAGTGTCTGGGAACCATGAATTCCAAAAAACTCCAAACTCACTTGGAACTTTTCTTCCCCCCCCTCTCTCTCTCTCTCTCTCTCTCCCTCTCTCTCTTTTTCACACATTCAAGCATCATCAGTAAGGCTCCAACACCTGAGAGAATCGCATGACAGCTCTCTCCGCTGCACGTCATGCCTCCGTCCGATGTGACGTTTGCGGCCGTGAAGTTCCTTCTCCGCAAAAAAAGAAAAAACAAACGATACTTCTTCACTTCCCACACCATCCATGTATAGAATAGTTACATGATGTTACATGCATCTATACTCCATTTAATAAATTTAAGACCCCAATGTAGGAAAAACTCTTCCAGCCTCATGCATGGATGCTCTGGGTTTCCTTCGTTTCTGAGGAGAGCTGCGAACGCCCGTGAGGCCGTCCGCATGAAAGCCTGGATGCTCCGCCTGACCGGACGCGGACTCCGACGACGATCCCAACGGTAGCCATCGTATGTGAGTTTTTGCATGGAGGCTAGCTTTTGGCTGTGGTTTTGAAGTCGAGGCTGCGCCAGACAGTGAGTTGGGCTCATGGAGTTCGAAGCTGGGACAAGTATGGGGTTCCACATTGTACATGGATGTACATGGTCAATCCGAATTTGGGTGGGCATGTCATGGATCGATTGGGGCCGTTGGTGACAAAAGCTGGGCCAGGTCAAGAAGAGAGGAGTCAAGGAGAAGTATATATGCAGGGTTCAAGCGCCCTCTATTCAGGACCAAGGGGAAATCGAAATAGCTCGGCCATAGCTCGGCCAAATGATGAAACCATATGAAACCCGTGTTAGGCAATTCCTTCCACCGTTGCGAAAACCGTTGCGGACGAGTCGAAGAGCAACTCCCGATCAAGCGCCAAAAGCTGATGTTCGATCATGACGGATCAGATCGGTCTGCCCGAAATCAGCGGTCCAGCTGCTCCAGCTCTGCAAAAGAACGGTCAACTCCGGGTGGCGCACCAAGCACTTCTCCAAATGAGAGGGCAGAAGTGTAGAAGCACTGCCTGGCTATCTGGGGGGGTATGTTGAGGGAACCTCATCCTTCCTAGGCTCCTTCAACCTGGGATGATGTCTTCCCATCTGCTCCATCTGTCTTGGATCAGGCTGATGTCATCACCAGACTTCGATTTCAATCTGGTGTCCTTACAATCTCAGTTCAGGCTAAAGACATGGATAAACCAAGGTTTTGATTGCTAAATCAGTGAGTTGGAGTTTCACTAGTCAGTCTACAGCCTCGATAAGTGAAGTCCATACGGCTGGTCAGAAGACAAGAAATATCAAGAAATAGAACTACACCCCAGAGTTGCTCCATCATTGCCCATTTGCCACCTCTCAATGGTAGATATTCGAGTAACGGACTGACAGTCCTTGATGTGTATACAAGAGAACACTCGGAATTGATTGGAGTCCAAGAATTCACATCAGGGATTTGTCCGGCAACTTCGTGAACGAACCCAGCTAAAGGATCGACTAGATCAAAAGGCTTGGCCTCATCAGCAGCTAAAGTCTCGGACCCCGAACAGCGTCAATTAGTTTGAACCACAGGCTTACTATGGCTTACTTATAAAGAGTTGCCAATGATGGCCTTTTTGATCCTTTGTTGGCCCACTCGACGGCCCACGCGACGGCCTGCACTTGGGATGGAGACCTGGATCGATTCTGCTGACTAAAAGGCTCCGCTTCGAGAGAGGGGCGTGGGCGTTGGGCGTGACCGGGCAGTCTAAGAGGATGGTCCAGTGATGCTGGCGACGTCTTCTTTGCGGAGTGGAAGTACTGATCTGCAACACAGCTGGATTCGACTACAGTGTACAAAGGCTAGCTAGCTACAATACCCAAACACTCCATGTATGCCATATATGCATACATTGACCCCCCAAACCACCCCAATGTAGGCATACAGTATATGGCATACATGGAGCGTCTGGGTTATACAGTAATCATGTTGGCCCGGAACGACCGCCAGCCTCATGCACAGCGAAGCGCTCTGCAATGACCATGCTGTTGTGATGGTCATCACATGCCAATCCCACTGGTTGTAGCGGACCCTCAGGCCAGAGACGACACGCAAATGCCATATCAACGGACCACGCCGCATGAAATGCAACTATAGTGCACATGATCGCAAGAAATGAAACTATCTCCACTTGAGGTTGGACAGCAAAGATTCTGCTTTAAGGTCCAGCCAATACGTTTCAAGGTCGGACTCCTTCAGGCGAAGTCAACGACATGGGCCCGCGAGGGCGCCGAGGACTGCGCGACCCGCGACCAGGTGTTGAAGTCGAGCAGGAGAAGTGCATCGGACAGACTGGGTAGAGAGGCCTGACGAACGAGGACGGCGAGACGGGACAGCCTTGCGACAGCCTTGCGAGAGCCGATCGAAGTGCGTGATCTCCGGAGCGAAATGGACACCCAGATAGTGCCTCACTTAGTCATAGATAGTCGGTCTGACTTGGGGGAGCTCCAAAGGATTCAAGGGAGGCGTCAAGGGAGGTCAATGGTATGAATCTGCTTCCACAGACTCCACGGGAACATACAATACCCAAACACTCCATGGGATTGCCATAGGACTGCCGCCCCTGTTCCACCACCCCAGCGGCCGTTTTGAAGCCCGTCCGGCAGTCCCACACGGGTCGTGTCCATGTTCCTCGGACCGCCTTCACCATCCCGAAGTGATCCGTAAAGTTGAGAAAGGGTCCCACGATGTCCCAAACAGGTCGCGTAGGTCGCGTCGTTGATCTGATCCGTTGATCCGGCCCACGGCCTTCAACAGACCAGCCATATGTTCGGTGTTTTTCCGGCCTGGCTGTGTCGTTTGATGTTGGGATGCCTCAGCTTGATGTTGCAGAAAACAAAAAGAGAAGCCACACACACACACATTCAGCTGTTAAGGCAAATGCAGGTCTTCCAAGCTCCAGGCATAGCCAAAGGATTGACCACATACCAACCAATGCCCACCATCCAAACAGTCACAAGGACAGTGCTTGCGCCGCAAAAGGTCTGCCAAGGCACCTCCGCAAAAAAGGCACAAAGCAGCCACATCGAACAAAACAAGCACGAAAAGGTCCTTTGAGTCCTTTGTCAACTTGTCAACATCAACGGTCCAGTGAAGGACCTGGTCCCGGACGGAAGACTGCTTTCCTCCAACATCGGAGTGGAAGGATCCACCAGTTACACCGCAGCTATTCCGTCAGTTAAATGCTAGCTGCTAGCTCAGATCGTAGCGCCTCAAGTGTGATGATTCTGTGCCCAGATCAAGGCTCCTGCTGCTTTTAGATGTTTGGTGGAAGAGATCGTAGCATCTCCAAACGAACAAATCGATACACAATTGTATCACAATAGATTGATGATAATCCCAAAGAAAATCATCACGGGCCTGCCCGGGTGGCTGCTTCGATTCTTCTCGTCTATCTCTTCGAGGATGAAATGTCTGAGCCTCAGACTGTTGAAACGGAAATCGACAGTCCAACTTCCAAAAAAAAGACAACAAAAAGAAGAGGTGAGGGAATCTGGCCCCCAAAAAACTCTCAAAGCATCTCAAAGCTGTGCTTTGCAATGTCCATCCAAGCCTAGACTCGACTCGAAATCTACCCACGCAATGTCTTTTCACTTCTCTGTAGATCTTCCAAGCTGCCCAGATGAAGACCCTTGCTTCGCCTGAGGCACCGGCCGTGGCCTCGGGGGTCATCAGCAGACCAGCACCACCACCTGGGACGCTGCGAGCACCGAGGCACCCGGTCGAGTTCGCGAAGCCAAGCCAGCTCGACGTCGTGATGACACCAAATCCAAGTTACATCAACTGACCACCCTGGTGGCAAGGTGGGAAGAAGCGAAAACATCCGCCGCTTGGGAGTCCAGAAGAAAAACCGGCCCAGCTGCCAGCTGGGGGGGTTCCGCCGGGGCCGTATGCTCCACCGGTCGCAGACTGGATCAGGTATGCTCCGTTCACCTCTCTTCCACGGAACTCCGGGGAGCACCGCTTGACCCTTTCGACCCCTTCGGGCGAACATGTGTGGCGGCTCTGGTGAGCGGGGCACCTCCCACCTTCCTTCCTCCGTTGGTTCACCCAGCTTTATGGAACTGCTTGCTGTAACGGGTGCACGGGCAGCTTCGCAGCGTTTTGTTCAAGAGCTGATGAGCCGTGGGAAGAAGCTGAGACCAGTAGTTGGAACATGATGGAAATCCCCTCCACAGCATCATTGATGTGAACACCATGGTCTTTGTATACGTCTTTGTATACGTCTTTTGCGGGGGTCTTGGAATGTCTTCATCTTGTGAAGCCGTCAGAGCTGTCTACCTCCGCCGCGTCTGGAACTGCCGACCTGATCTGAGCTGTCCCGACCCAAGTCAGCGGACTCGCGCCCGCCAAACTTCGTCTCCTGCCGCGGATGTCAGTGCCTTCCAACAAACCGACTCGTTTTCATTGAACTTCAGCGACTGGAAGTCTCACACAGAAAAACATGGAGCATCTGATTTCACCTATCGATGGCACCGTTGCTTGGTTGGATGTTCTTGTTCGTGTTACTACACGAATAGTCATGAAGAGTTGAATGATAGGCGAGACCCCAAAACACCATCCTGGCCACACCGATCCAGGCCGTGCCATGGTTTCACGGGGCCGGCCATCACACACAGCTCTCTCTCTCTCTCTCTCTCTCTTTTGCTCCTGAGCAGCGGATGCAGTGCCAACATTGGGCTCCTGCTCGACCTGGGGCGGACACGATATATCATGATCATTGATGATCCCTGAAAGGCTTTAAGAGACCTGAAAGCCCAGCGAGCACAAGATACTGCCTCATGAGTTTTGTCGCTTGGGGCATGACGACATCCCCTCTTCGATCAGTTTTGAGCGGATCGCATCCAGCCCTGGGATGCCCTGGGACGGCCCTGGTGCGAAGAAATGTTGTGACACCAGCTGGAGGATTTGTCATAACAACAACAACAACAACAGCAATGTTGAAACACTATTCACTATTTATAAACTGCCCAACCACTGTTGACCACGATCTTCCGAATTCAGACATCATGAGTCTCTACCAAAAAACCGTCTGAGTAGCCGTTGCCTCAGGCAAACATGGCAAGCCAAAAATATGAATGAACATATTAACATCTGAGGACCTCCCAACGAGTGAGTCCATTGACCTGCTCCAACGAGTGGGAGGCCTGTTTCCAACGACATCGCTGTAGGTCATGGCACGCCATGTTTGACCGAAAGTGAACAGAGTTGCCTACTAAGGAGGTCAACCTAAGAGGGTTTAGAGCTCCAGGATGGCTCCAGGTTTTGACCCACAGCCATATCGAGTACTGGGTCAACGGCTGAGGGTCTGGTCACACCAGCACCAGCACTAGTGCTGGTAGAGCTTGTGGGAGGCCTCAAATTGGCAAACTCTGGTCTCACATGGTCTCACCAAATTGGAGCAAAAACAATGTGACTACCCGTTGATGATTGCTAGTTAGCTTGAATTGAATGTGGTTTAAGAAAACCACTTGGGCTATCTCTGATGGTTCTTCTAAATAAAAAAGAGTGAAAAAAAGCAACTATAAAAAGCAGCAAAAAAACAAATCCCAAAAAGCCAAAAAAATAGACAGCAAATGCAAAAAACACACAAATCCAAAAAGCAACTTAAAAAGCAAAAAGCGAAACAAAAAGCGGAGAAAAAACAAATGAAAAGGCAAAAGACAAAAACAACAAAGCGAAAAACAAGCAAATGAAAAAGCAAACAGCGAAAACCAAAAAAGAACGAACAAAGCAAAAACACGCAAATGAAAAAGCAAAACGCGAAAATCAAAAAAAGCAAATATATAATAAGAAAAAAAGCGGAAAACAAACGAACAAAAACAGCGAAAAACAAGCAAAAAGCAAAAAGCATGCGAAAAAGTCGGAAAAATGCGGGCAAGCAAAAAAGCCGGAAAAAAAACGGTTTTCGCTTTTGGAAGTGTTTTTGTTTTTGCTGTTGCTTTTCATTTGTTGTTTTTGCTTTTTGGAGTTGTATTTTTTTGCTTTTCCTTTTTCATTGTTTTTGCTTTTTGGATTTGCTGTTGTTTTGCTTGTGCTTTTTCATTTGCTTTTTTTGCTTGCTTTTGGTAGTTCCTTTTTGGTGCGTTTGGTCTTTTTCTAATTTTTCTATTGTTTTCAAGAGTCAGCCCGAGTCAGCCTGGGTCCGGCGAACACTTGGTGAGATTGAATTCAAACCCAGCTAAATGGATGAACATTGACTGCTAGTAAGGCACCTGTTACTACTAGCGTGGCACTTGTTTCTAATAGCTTCTTGTTACTACTAGTAAGGCACTTGTTACTACTAGCGATGCACCTGTTACACCAGCTTCTTGTTACCTAAATGGATGAACATTGACTACTTCGTGGGGATGTGGGAAACTGGCGTGTCTCCCCAATCTTTGGACATGGACAAACGCCCCCAAATCATCCTGGGTTGACACGCCACTGTGTTTATCACGTTTTATCTTCTCTTCCAGGGTTGTAGGAGTGACTCAAATGGGGCTCCATCTACTGCATGGAGTTCATCTATTTTTCCTGCCACCGCTGGCAGGAGTGTATTTAGGTGTACTTTATTGTATTGTAGAATCTTTTAAATGTCTTTGCGGAGGTCCCGCCCATAATTATGTTCCAAATGTCCAGTCCCTTGGCTTGCCCCACTGCCACGAAAAACCGCTGGCTGATCTACCTAGACCTAAAAGTGCAAAGGATCAGTAAGGGACTTCAATATGTTGTCTCAATCAGAGGTTGGACTAACCATGTTCATCCGTGTCTCTGCTGTGCCTTTTGCTTGCACAGCTGGGTACTTCGTGGGAGAACTGTGGGAACTGTGTGAATGGACTGTGTCACCGCACGAACCTCGCGGGAAAATCTCCCGCACGAACCTCACTGAGGTCTTCGCAACAATCCACCAGCCAATCGTCCGAGCCTGGACCTGAAAAGGCGAGCTCCACGGCGTCGTTCTCGTTCCGGTACCGGCCCGGTTCGGAGACGGAGGATCCCGTATCCACACATGGGGCACCCCAAAGGAATGATCGTTGGCCATCTGAATCCGTGGTTGTTTTCATGTTGTTTCTTGATCTGAAACAGATCTTCGATGGAGGACCCATTTTCTCGCGAACCCAATCATGACCTGGGGCATGAGACTGACCATAGCTTTGAGTGCAATGCATTTCATCCAGCTTCAGCTTATCAACTTGCTCACTCAGCGGCGAAGATCGCTGGCGCAGATATCTCAGATCTTCCTGGCGGGCGTCCATACGAGGCACATAGCAGAAATGGAGGCACATAATAGAACTTTACAGTCCAGGTGGTGGGATGCGCGAAAAACCCCCGAAATTCAATGTCTAAACAGTTTAAACGAACCAAAACTCCGATCAAAGACGTCTCACCTGACTTGCGTCTTTCACGTTGCCGGGGTCAGTTGGGCATCGCCGGACTTGAGAGAGGCCCAACCGAGTGGCCCCGTGACCGAGTGACTGAGGCCCCGTTCATGTCGTATGGATGTGTAGCTCAATTCGGGAGACCAACCCGTTCGACCCCCTGGAAGGGACATATACGGGTGTCTACCATAGTCTACCCATAAAAACGAGAGGTCTCCTTATACCAGTCTACACACCGAGGTAGATGTAGCTCCATCAAGAGTGTGAATCAAAACAATCTTGTCCTGCAAGACCTCAATGCGTTCTCTGAGCCTCAAGTTTGTGCGTAGTGTCACACTGTTGAGCATCAACAAGAAAACAATGCAACTGAATTCTCTGCATTCCGTTTTGCTTTCTTGTTCCTGTTCTGGCTTGTCTTTGTGCTTGTTTTTCGCTCTTGTTAGCTTTGTTTTTGTTGCAGTTGTGGTAGTTGTGGTAGTGGCAGTACTCGTGATAGTGGCAGTACTCGTGGTCCGTAGTACCCATGTTCTTGGTCTTTGCTCTTGAATGGGGTCCCTGCTCTTTTTTCGAACCAACTCTTGTACCAAAGCCCAGATTTTTACTAAGCTCGACGCATCTCCACACGCCCCGCCACTCCGATGATGTCCGAAATGAAGATGGGGTCCTTGGGACATGGTGACATGGTCTCTCACCAAGGGAGAGGATAAGTAAGAGAGAGAGAGAGAGAGGTAGGGAGAGAGAACCTATAATTCAGGAGGGCAAGTGCCGGTGTCAGTCGTGTTCCTTCATTTTCATGGCAAGCAGGTTCGGGCGGTATCTTGGTGTGCCATCGAAAGGTCGATCGATCATCTGTGTGCCAAAATGGATTGAACCTGGACCCAGTGGACCCCCAAAACAACCTTTGAGGACCTCAAAACGTAAAAAGTCACAGACCATCACAAGCCTGTGACCCGGGCTGTTTCTGAACCCTGGAAGCCGGCGGCACCTTATTTTTCTCCCTGGAACCCCAACACCACATTTCCACCCCAAGGTCTGTGGAACCAAAAAAGGGGTCACAGCAGCTCCTAGAAGCCAATCGCTCACAGAATCACAGCACACAGCACACACGTGCCCCGCTCCGTCAGTCCAGATCGCTGGGAGTGCCCAGCTGCCCCAGCTTCACAGTGGGGCTCCTCCAGGCGGATCACACCCGCCAGTGGCTGCAGAAACCTCGGCCGCCGGGCGGCGCCAGGCGGCGGGTCGCCCGTCGGGTCACCCCGAACCGGACGCGGGCGGGCGCCGGCCGGGGAGGCCGCGGGGGAGGCAGGCCAGTGGACACGGTCGACAGAAGAAGCACTGCAGGTGAAAAAGTCACGGAATCCAGGTGCAAAGCTAGATGATCTCGCGATGAATAACGCATGCATGCGGGTATAGAAGAAACCACTGTTGGCCTTGGTGATTGTTTGGGAGGTCGTGCAACCAAACAAGCTGGAGCTTCTCCATTTGAGCAAAGAAAGACTCTGGGATGGATGTCCATTGAATGTCCATCCCAATTCACACTACACATTCAGAGAGAGTGACTGCTTCTCAGGATGTGTTCAGGTCCTCAATTTCGTCTCCTGGGCCCCGGAGCCATGTAACGCGCTCACTTTGACTCCTGCAGGTCTCATTCTGAGATCATCACTTCGAGGAAGTGGTTGTAATATCTTGATTATAAAACAAAGAACGCATTTGGATTGTAGCGACCTCTTCAGGCCCTGGGGTGGTTTTATGAACTCAAGCTTCTATACAACTGTAAGCTCGCTCGCTCTCCCTCGGCGCCCGCACTCCACACGGAGCCAGATTTGCAGGTTCTCCTGGCCGTCGGCCACGGGGGGCCGTCGCCGACCGACGATCCTCGATCCGGTCCTCCTCCACGAGCGAGGCGGAGGGAGACTCCGGCTGTGCCCATGAGATGTCCTGCGGGACCGAATGTCGCGGGAACGAAGGTGGTTCGGGACCGAAGCGGAGGGAGTCCGATTCATTTGATCTTTTGCTGGTTTTTGGTAGAAGTTGGAAGAATCCTCCAGAGATGAAAACCAAGACAAGCGAAATAACAATAACTAAAAAAAAATATCATGTTTATTCATAGTTTATGCATAATTGTGGACGTCGATATATTCAAATGAAACATGTTCAATTTCATCACGCGCGATTCCACCGAACCCGCGTTCTTCTTCCGCGTCACAGCGCTGTGACGCGCCCTGCCTCATTGGCGCTGATTCGATCTCTGCTGAGATTGGCCTCGTCGGAGCGTCGCTCTGCGTCGCGTGAACCGCGGCGGGTGAAACTCACGCGTGGCGTCCGCGGCGGCCCTCACGCTCGGAACCTCGTGGACGTGGGCAAAGTCTTTCCGGACGCTGGCAAACTCGCGCTGCAGCGCTCGTAGTTGCCTGACTGGGTTTCGAGGGCACGCAAGCAGTCGACGGGGGGGGGAGTTTCACGGTGGTGTTCTTGTTTTTTCCGGAAGCGTTTTGGATGGTGTTTCAAGAGACCTCCTCGAAAAGGAGAGAGTCGATACTTCGAGCTTGGATGGTGGGCATTGACAAAGGGTGGTCGTCCGTGACACGGCGACACTGTGGAGCTTCGACTTGGCATCCCAGCCTGAGGAGTGAAGGGACATGATCCAAGTCCGCAATCTGCAGATCACACGGCAGCAAAAGAGAACGAAAAAAACATCCACCAGGAGTCACAAGACGGGGTGGTGTTTAGTCCCATTCAGTGAGTGGATGTGACAGGGGCACCCGGACTACCTCCATGGATCGAACCCCGTCGAACGTGACTGCTGGCAGGTACCTCCCCTCCCTAAAGGCCTTAGTCTTGAGAGTCCAAATGGCAGAACGACTTCGTTTCGTCCACGCGCCGACCCGCCTCCCAAGTGGAGAATTCGCGACTCAGTTGATTGCCCAAACGGCAGCTCTCCTTATAAAGCGCCTGCAGCACGAAGTCAAGGCAGCGCAGTAAGAAGTGAAGTCGGAGCCATTGTTAATGGATCAGTTTGGTCCGTTTTCCCTTGTCCCGCATGCATGGTGGTGCTTTTGGGGCTCATCCAAGCCATGTAACGAATCACTAGCATTCCGGAAAAAGACTCTGATGGATTTGCCGATGCGTTGCATTGGTAAGTGTTCAATCAATTAGACATATGGGCAGACTGATGGCCAGCCTCTCGCAACATTTGTGGCATCTCTCTTGCCTCCAGGGACACTCGTTGGTGTTCGAGTTAAAGGTGAGCCGCTGCGAGTGCTTCAGTCGGTCACAACTATGGCACTCTACCGTGCCCACAGACTGAGCTATAAGTTTAGTTGGTTAAGTTTAGTTAGTTAAGTTTAGTTATATAGTTAAGTTTAGTTAGTTAAGTTTAGTTAGTTTGGTTTAGTTAGGTTTATATATAGTTAGCTGGTTAGTTGGTTAGTGAGTGGGTTAGTTAGTTAGCTAGCTAGCTAGCTAGTTTGTTTTTTCTTGCAGTCAGAAGAGATTCTCTTCTTTCTTCTCTCAGAAGCTCTGAAGGAGAATCTTCTTTTCGGGCCCCCGGCATTGCTCCTTTGCGACGTGGCCGCGGGTGCCGCGGATCCCTGCTCCTGTTCGGGGCTTTGCAACCTCAGAAGGGGGCGCATCCGTGTTTGTTCATCAGAACTATTTAAGCACTTGTCTTGTTCATGAAAGGACCTCTGAAGAAAGTCCTTGAGCCTTTGAACTTCCACCACCTTGAAATCCCTTGTGGTCCATTCGCACTCACGAGTGAAGTCGATGGATCGGGCGGTCCACCTCTAGATCGACTGATCGACCCGAAGGATTTCAATCGCATTCTCGTGATGAACAACGCCCACAATGAATAAACGCCCACTGATCACCCAGCTCACACCAGAGGGAAAAATAACCTTGAGACCTCAAATTCCGGAGGATGAGCTGCACTAAAGTTCACTAAAGCACAAGAACGCTCAAACACAGGGGCTCAGCTCCCTGGCCATCCGAACACGTCCAAATAAAGGACGTTTCGAAAGCGCGTCGGCAAGGCGGCGCCGCGTTCCGTGACCTGAAAGGCTCACGGAGGCGCCGCGGTTCAGCTCACCGCCAAAAATGGGTCCGTTGGATGGAATGTTGGCAGTGACTAATGTAGACTCCTGACGAATGAAACCCTCCATATCTGGATCGAAACATCGTCTTAATATGTCTTTACACGGAGGTTTTTTATTGATCAAGATATGAAACCCTCCCCATGTGGATTGAAACATCGCCTTAATATCTGTCTTTAGAAGGAGGCCTTACTGAGGGCTTGAAAATTAAACAAGAGTCACTGCAGTGATCTGCAGTGGAATTCAATGGATGCGCCCCACCAAACCGTCGTTAAAGCGCTCGTGGCTAAGTCCTCCGCGGTTTCAGCTCGTGCGACATAGGCAACCGACACCTGGCGGCCAACAACAACGCCACCGAGTTCGGTGTTCAGCATGATGGCAATGAGCCAGGCAGTCGATGAGCAAGGCATGCATGGTGAAGGTGATCGCCACCAGGACCTTGTATCTGACTCTGACTCTTAGCAGTTCTTCGGAAGCATGGGCATCTGGGTGTTGCACAACTCTTGCAGTTCTTGGCTCGACATGTGTTCAGTACCGCTGGTTCTTTGCACCGCAAAACTGCAGTATTTTCTCAGCAGCGCGCGAAGATCCATCCCCACTTGGGTTCGCTCATGGAGCTCAACGTCGCCTCGAAGGAGCGAATTTTTGTGCGAACGACTCTCGTGGCGCGGCCGGCGCTGGTGGCAGCTCGGCGCTGGCACATTATTTTGTTCGCGGCTTTTGAAATGGTTGCGTATGGCACCTATTGGATCCAAGTGCATCCCTATATCCCCATGCTGGGCAGGGGGAACTTAAGGGTGTCGAGATAGGGAATCCATGGGAATCCAATTGTTGATGTTTCTGCAGTCCTTTGCTTCAACAATCTTGGTGTCGTCTGGGCAGCTAGGCTCCTCTGGAGTTTGAGAGGGGTTTTGCAGGTTTGAATCGGTTTGAATGGATATCAAGTGCAGCAATCAAGCCTGAACGGTCCAGCTCTGAGGTCTCAACGGCTATTAGTGCTAAGGCAGGACCTCAAATCACGCCGTCTGCGAGGAGGAAGATGGAGGAAGGGCATCATGTGACACTCAGGAGGTCTTATGGATTCTTATGGACCTTATTTCACTGGGCCTGGTCATACACAGTACTCGCTGCTTTACTTGGACCAGCAAGGATATAGGTCTGAGCTTGTCCCTGATGTATAGTGTCCAGGAGAGTTGACATGTTTGGGTCCAATTTTGGTTTCGTTCTTGATCGGAACATCTCTTGGACGGTGGACCATCACTCAACGTTTTGAGCCTCGGACCCAACATGAGCACCAGGGCTCCGATGACCCGCAGAGTACTTGCAAAGTACAAATCCAGCCTCTGCCGAAAGAAGCAGCTGGAGGTGTGAGTCGCACTTCACTGGATCTTTGTGTTGCGAGCGAGGCCACCTGAACCCCCGCTCCAATCTCCTTTCCAATTCAGGGTCCCAACTTTTCGTGGGGCCCCACAGCTTCGTGACGGTCGTGGGCCCCAAAAGACCGGAGCTGGGTCCCAACGACTTCCGGCCTCATGAGGAGCCAGGTGAGCGCTGGCAGCACCACACTGGGCAGCACGATCATCAGGGAAGGTTTTTTGCACCATCAAATCCCACATGCAACTGTTGTTCCATGTTTCAGAACACCTTGACTTGTGCAAAAAAGCGAAGTCTTCACAAGGTGCCAAGAGTGAATCCAGTCTAAGGAGCTCACACACACACGAAGCCGGCCCAGGGAGCATGCATCTCCAAGACTAGGAGGC